GAGAGAGAGAGAGAGAGAGAGAGATTAGTGAGGAGAAAAGCCTTTCCAGGCCCTTGATGCTAAAATGAATTTCTCATCTTTCACCAATGCTATTGTCAGAAATGCAAGTCTTTACAAATTTGAACCAGGGAGGAGGATTCAGAACCTTTTGCTGTTTAGAAACAGTGTGAGACGGGTTATTTCTCTTTTGCAAAAAAAAAAAAAATTACCTCATTGGCATGCACTGCACAATTTTTGTGACACAAATGTATTCCACAGTATACATGCATCTGAACAATTAGTGTTTTGATGAAGTGATGGGGGTGGAAAGCCGCACTGTTGCTAATAATTAGAACAGACAATGGTACCTTCTGTAGCAAATTACCATCCCTCACCTCTCCCTCCCCTGAACCACTTCAGTTGATGTTGGATGTGTCCATGACAGTGTGGTGTTGCTAAGAGAGGTTGCTAAGCGGTATCACACACATAAATATGGATATCTAGTCTTTTGGATGGGTCTGCCTTGAAAAGGGAAACTAGAGAGCTACAAGCCAACAACTTCATTTATTTATTTACCTTACTTTCCTTTGCTTTTTAAAGTTGTAGATAAAGGGAGACTGGAGGGTGCTGCTCAGACAGTATTAGAAGCCCTAATTTATATACATCCCTAAATTACCTGCAGTTGCACAGCATTTTGTATCAATAATTTATCATTAGAACAGGGAATTACTACAGTAGGCACAAAGGTCAACAAGGTCTAAGAACTGATGATTTGCGTGCTCTGGGCCAGTCTGAAATCCAAAGTCCTTCTGCAGTGGCAAAATGGATGTGTCAGAAAAGGCAATACCCTCTCATTTTCTCCTGCAGCATCCCTTGCCCTGTGAACTGCCCATCGCAAATGAACATCAGGTAACACAGACATGTGCCCTCCATTTTATGCCTGTGATTGCCTAACTCCAGACTGTTCACTTTCAAGATAAAATCATTTGGGGTTTTTGGTTCATAATTATTAGCAGTTTGTGGAGTATTTTTGGAGACACTTTTATTGGCTCTGAGTGCTTTGCATCATGGTGACACGTCCTGACACTGTCTCCAGAGCCTGGAGTTTTCCAAGACCAATCAGCTCTTTCCTTTTCATAACAGCTTGTTTTTCTCTCCTCTTATTACAGTTTTGAATGGGGGATGTTATCTAATCCCAGTGCTAAAGTGCCTTGGGAGTGAAATGTATTTCAAGGAAAGTCATGTAGCAAGGATAGCAATTCTCAAAGGAATCAGTTACCTGCACTAATAAATATA